GTGCGCCATTCATTCTGTGTGGGGCGAGTGGGAGTGGGGTGAGCTGGTCAAGCGCGACGCTCGCTCGTTTCTCCGCGAAGCATTCGGTCCCACTGCTGACATCTTCAAATCGAGGCTGTCGTCCGAGGAGCTGCTGGGCGACATGGAATGGGCACTCTGGGATTTGATCCAACCCTTTGCGAAGCAGTCGGACCCCTTCGGTGCTCCGCTGCGCGCGGGAGACAACGAAGGTCAGCACGTGTGGCGCTGCCTTCTGGAATCCTATTTCGACATTGCTCAGCGCTGCGTTGAGGCATGTCGGGAAGAACTGCAAAAGTTTGAACTGCACAGGGAGCGTAAAACAAGGATAATGCAAGAGTTTGGTTCTCTCTGCGTCGAAGATTTTCAGGGTGTCTTCATAGTGCCTTTGATGCGATCCCTGGGGTTGTTGGAAAAGTACACGGCAGAAGCATCTGATGAGTTCTCCGGAGGGCGCCGCCTGAGCAAGTACGAGGCGCTGTTCGCGGGAACAGTTGGCGCTCGAGAGTGGCGCAGAAGTGTCGTTGAAGACGCGTGTCTCCAGAACTCATTCGATTTGTTTTCAGTGAGATTCACGACGTGGTTGACGGCCTCGATTTCGACGGCGGCGTCGATCTGGAACCTATGACGACTTTCGCAGAGTCTGTGGACGAGGCCAGGGAGTGCAACTGCCAATCTGCCGGGCTGCCCGCAAATTTCTTCAATGCTGTCTTTCCTGCCTATCTGGAAGCCATGACTACGTGCGCAGATTATTATTTCAGTGACATCGAACTGCTTGCGCTGGCGCGTTGCAAGAGGCAGAATGTAGTCATTTTCGTGCACTGTTCTGCGACGCGCGAGTTGACGTGCGCGCGTTCGCGCGTCGGAGACCCGAGCCTTCCGGTGGTCGCCACGTCCCTTCGAGATGACGGCGGACAGGGCGCTGTCCGAACGCACTTCGAGCGGCTGCGGGTTTGCCCGCAGGAGCATTTGCCTGGGCGGGGGAGAAGCCCGGAAGGCGATCGCTCCACTGAAGATGATGGGCACAGAGAGGCGAAGCGCCCGAAAACCCAGAGTGAAAGAGCCCCGGCGCGTCCCCCTGCCGAAGAGAGAAGCCGCGGAGACGGGGGCGATGGAGCGGCTGGGCGGCGCGCGACCGGCGGAAAGTCTGGATTGCATCTGAAGGAGGATTTCGAAATGCATAGTGGATGCGACGCCGGTTGCGACGACCGCGTCAATGCGGCGGAGAGCCGGGGCGCAGCCTCGGGAATGCCGGCTGTCGCCGCGACTGAAGGGGGCCAGTGCGTCGCGGACGTGCCCGATTTCTTGGGGTTTCAGTTCCCAGGCCATGCAGGAACGCCAGCTGTCGAGGCAACTGACAGAGACAAAGGCGTCGCTTCGGAGTCAAGCGAAGGCGCCGGCGAGGAATCTGAAAGCGAAGGGGGCGACGGCGTGGAGGAGCAATATTTTGCAGTTGGCGCCAGCGCGGAGCAGGTCCGTGGAGCGCCCGTGGAAATGGGCGTGATTGATGGCCGCCGCCGAGAACTCCGCGAACTCATGCGAGAACGGCCCGCGCTGCCGCTGACAGCGGGCGGCGCAGTCTTGACAGCTCCCGACTTGGAAACTGGAGTGAAGTTGCCTTTGTACTCGTGTCCTTTCCAGAGCAACCAGAGTGGGCCTTGCCGTTTCCACGCGAGTGACCGGGCAGCCTTTTTGCACCATGTTGCCGGGGGCGCCAGGGATCGCACGCGTGCCAGCGTGATAAGTGAGATCTGCAACAATGATATTCGCTGGATGACGAACTTGGACTACGTATACAGGGCCATGGCCGTTGCCGAGCGGGAGCGGTGGCCAATGTTGGGGCTGGCGACAACTCGGCGATCCCTGAACCTGCTCGCGCTTCGGTGCAACGTCGAGACGACGAGATGTCTGGCCTGTTTCATATGCGGTCAGCTTCGCACGACGTGCGCGGGGTACCCGCCAGTTGACCTGGAGTCGAGTTCCATCTCCCTCGCGTCTGGCAACGTCGAGATAAAATATTGGAGAGAGGCGGCTTTCCAGGACGTTGAAAAGAACTTCCCTGGAACCCTCCTCGACAACTGCGGGTTCGATCTATGGCAGAAGCGGTGCGTGCATCGGGACCTCGAGTCAAGCAAGGCGTGCCCGTGGGGAGGACAACAGGTGTTAAGTGAACCGTTGAGCACCTGTGTTGGAAACCAGGAGCGCCACGTGTCGCGGTGGGCCGTCCAGTTCAGCTTCGAAGGCAGATCAGGGAAGTTATTCGGGTGCACTGAGGACGTCCGATGTCTCGCGTGTCCCGACAGACATTCGGAGGATTGGGGGACGCCGCCGTTCTGCAGGAAACTCTGCCCGCAGTGCGAGGTGCCAGTTTGCCGCGACTGCACGGGGAAATTAAGGGATCACGAGGCGGCGCCCTCGTTCCTCGACGGCGGGGCCGTCCCTATGAGCATAACGAACGACCATTACTACGGCCACGTGAGTCGATGCGTTGTGGAGAACGACGTCACGTGGCTGGAGTGCGCGGCGTGCTGCACCGTGTGGAGTGCGATGTTGGTCTGTTACCTGGAGGCCCCGTGCGGCAACCTGATCGACGTCCCGCTCGGCAAGCCGGAAGCCAAAACGCAGGTGAAGGTCGGGCCCCCGGAGACCAGGGCAAAGATAAACCAGGACGCGGGAAACCAAGGAAACGACATCTTTTCCTGCAGTGTCACGTTTTTCAGCACCCGTGCAAGTTGTGCTCGCTGCGCTGCAGGACGCGAGTTTGTGTCTGGGTTTAGAGGGGTCTTGCAGGATTTCGAGGCCTGTGGTCGGGTTTATTATCGAAATGCAGCAGTGCAGTGTTTCGTTCGCGCGGGCCTCTTGGGGGCGTCCTGGAGGCTCTGGAGGCCTCGTGGAGGACTCTTGGGCGCCTCTTGGGGGCTTCTTGGGGGCCTCTTGCGGCGTCTTGGGGCTTCTTGGGTGCCTTTTGGGGGCCTTTTGGGAGCCTATGGGGGCGTCTTGGGAGCCTCTTGGAGGCCTCGTCCTTCCTTGTGTGAGCGCCTCGGGCCTCTCACTGTGTGTGAGTCGTTCGGGTTCCTCGTAGTGTGAGTCGTTCGGGCCCCTGGTCCTGGTGTGCGTCGTTCGGGCCATTCCTTGCGTGTGAGTCGCTCGGGCTTCTCATTCTGTGAGTCGTTCGGGCCCCTCGTCCTTATGTGAGTCGTTCGGGCCCTTCCTTGTGGTGTGAGTCGTTCGGGCTCCTCGTGGTGCGAGTCGTTCGAACCGCTCGTCCTGGTGTGCGTCGCTCGGGCCCCTCCTTGTGTGTGAGTTGTTCGGGCTCCTCGTGGTGTGAGTCGCTGGGGCCTCTCGTCCTGGGGTGAGTCGTTAGGCCTCCTCGTGGGCGTATTGGGGGCCCCATTGGAAGCTCTCGGGGCTCCTTGGGGGGCTCTTTGTGGTCTCTTGGGCGCCTCGGGGGGGCCTCGAGAGGCGTCTTGGGGATTTTTGGAAGCCTCTTGGGGGCCTTTGGGGGGCCTCTGGGGGCTTCTTGGGGGCGTCTTGGGGGCCTCGTCCTTCCTTGTGTGGGATCCTCGGGTCCCTCAGTGTGTGTGAGTCGTTCGGGTTCCTCGTAGTGTGAGTCGTTCGGGGCCCTGGTCCTGGTGTGCGTCGTTCGGGCCCTTCGTTGTGTGTGAGTCCTTCGGGCTCCTCATGGTGTGAGTCGTTCGGGCCCCTCGTCCTGGTGTGAGTCGTTCGGGCCCTTCCTTGTGGTGTGAGTCGTTCGGGCTCCTCGTGGTGTGAGTCGTTCGGACCGCTCGTCCTGGTGTGCGTCGCTCGGGCCCCTCCTTGTGTGTAAGTGGTTCGGGCTCCTCGTGGTGTGAGTCGTTGGGCCCCCTCGTCCTGGGGTGAGTGGTTCGGGCCCCGCATTGTATGTGAGTCGTTCGGGCTCCTCGTGGTGTGCGTCGTTCGGGCCCCTCCTTGTGTGTGAGTCCTTCGGGCCCCTCATGGTGTGAGTCTTTCGGGCCCCTCGTCCTGGCGTGAGTCGTTCGGGCGCCTCCTTGCGTGTGAGTCCTTCGGGCTCCTCGTGGTGTGAGTCGTTCGGGCCGCTCGTCCTGGTGTGCGTCGCTCGGGCCCGCATGTATGTGACTCGTTGGGGCTGCCTTGTGGCGTGAGTTGTTCGGGCCCTCGTCCTTCGTCGTTGCGTCGTTCGGGACCCTCCTTGTGTGTGAGTCGTCGAGTGTCCTCGTGGTGAGTCGTTCAGCCCTCGTCCTGGTTGAGTCGTTCGGGCTCACGTGGTGTTGGAGTCGTTCGGGAGTCTCCCTTCCTTGATTGTGAGGCGTTCGGGCTCAGGGCCCTTCCTGTGGTTGTGGGTCGTTCGGGCTCCTCGTGGTGTGAGTCGTTGGGGTCTATCGTCCTGGTGTGAGTCGTTCGGGCTCCTCGTTGGGCCTGTTGGGGGCCTCTTGGAGCTCTTGGGGCGTCTGGGGGGCCTCTTGGGGGCGTCTTGGGGGCCTCTTGGAGCCTCTTGGGGCCTCTTGGGGGCCTCTTGGGAGCCTCGAGGGGACCTCTAGGGGCCTCTGGGGGGCCTCTTGGGGGCCTCCTGGAGGCCTCTTGGGAGCCTCCTGGGGGCCTCTTGGGGCTATCTTGGGGTCTCAGGCGATCTCTTCAGAAGCGCTAGTAAGCGCTGACCCCTGAGAAAAACAAAATCAGCCCGAAACCTTCGTAAAATCAATGGTTTTGCTAAGAAGGACGAGGAACGCGGCCCCCTCATAATGTTTTTCAGCACCCGTGCAAGTTGTGCTTGCTGCACTGCAGGACTCGGGTTTGTGTCTGGGTTTAGAGGGGTCTTGCAGGTTTTTGAGGCTTGTGGTCGTGTTTATTCTCGAAGTGCAGCAGTGCAGTATTTCGTTCGTGCCGCCGTCTGGAAAAATGTGGTTTCGAGGGGCGTTGGGCGTCCGGGTCCAGCGTGTCCGGGTCTACGGGGCCCTGAGAAGGGCAATCTTTTCAGCTTCTCCATGCCGTGGGACGACATCGAGAGATGTTGTCGCGAAGCGTCTCAGCACGCCGAAGAGATCCACGGGGACCGGCTGAGGTTGCTGCAGGATGCTCTCGGTGTGCCACATTCGGAGGAGACGTTGGCGATGCTGGTGAACGTGCGCATCAAGGGGGGCAGCAAAGACCTGGCGCAACACCTGAAAGGGCTCACGTTGCGCATCCCTGTAATGCAGAAGTTGATCGAGATCATGCGCGACAGCGGCTATCCAAGTTATGGCAACAACGGCCTGAACTCATTCGACAGAGTGGCAACCCGCCTCCACGAAAGGTACTCTCAGAAATACGCAGATAAATACGGGGAGGCGAAGTTCATCCCGCAGGCAGTGCAGGATGCGGTGCAACAGCTAGACGGGGCCAAAGACTCCATCGTTCAAGACAAAGTGGCGACGCCTCCAGAGCCGGCAAAACCGGTAGAGGATTTCGCTTTTGCGTTGAGCCCGTCCTATATCGTCGCTGAGCGGAGCACCGGAGCCCAGTCGAACATCTCTGAGAATTACAAGTCCGTGTTTGCAAGGTGTCGGCGATGTCAACATCCAGAGCGGGGCGGACCTGGCCAACCAGCATACCGCCTGGTACCTGGGCGTGGCGTTTCCTTTCACGCTGCCGCGTGCTGTTGGCGGATGCGATGTCCCGAACCAACCTCGTTGGCATCGACCAGAGACGAGGGATCTCCCAACTCCGCGTGGGCTTCTGCGCAGTTGGCTCGAACCGTCAGTGGGCGTAGGCCAGCGGAAACTACCGAGCGCTTATTTTGCGATGGGGCCAGCGACCACGGTGAGGTTGTTTGACCTCACGCGCGGCTTGCCGCAGCGGAAAGAGGGCAAGTTCCGACGCGCATGGGGCTTCGCGCCGGCCTTGTGGAATCTATATTTTCGAGAGCGTGTCAATCTCGGAGCAAGCTTGAGCATCGAGCGAGTGGGGCGGTTGCAAGGCCAAAGCGCCGAGAGCATGGAGACCAACGCTGCCGTGGTCGCTGCGGATTTACCGCAGAAGCTCGAGAAGGGTTTCTGCGCGTTACCCGATGGCAGACGCCGCGATATCAACGATGATGCCAGTGAGCTGATTCTATAGGCTTACGCCACGTCCGCCGACCCCTCATCTTGGCGGTTTGCCGGCTCGCTTGAATCGGGTTGGGGAGTCGTGTAGGGGTCCATAACGACCTCTCTTGGGGCCATGTGGAATCCGCTTGGGGTCATCTCGAGGCCCCGGGGGGCCCATCGGAAAAGAAAAGACGCTAATGCAATCTTGGCATCGTTCTGGAGATGCCCGAAGGGTAGGAGCGTTGGGCTGGGGCCCGTATATTTCTTGCTGGGGGCCGTTTCGAGGTTGTTTTGGGGCCTCTTGGGGGCCTCTTGGGGCCTCTTGTGGGCGTCCTGGGGGCTTCTTGGGGCCTCTTGGGGCCTTCTGGGGCCGTCTTGGGGCGGAAGGCTCGGATTGTCGGTTCGGGCTCGCCCTCTTGGGCACCTCTTGGGGCCGTCTTGGGGCCCTCTTGGGCTGGCTTGGGGGCCTCTTGGGCCGTCTTGGCGCCCTCTTTGGCCGACTTGGGCGCCTCTTGGGAGCCTCTTGGGGCGGTCTTGGGGTGCTCTGGGACCGTCTTCAACGCCGTGAAGGCGGACAAGTAGTATATGATCTAAGTGTACGTTGTCCCATAGGAATTTGACGATTTTCGGCGCTGCGGTTCTTCTGAGGACTGCTCTTGGGGGCCTCTTGGGCCGTCTTGGACGCCTCTAGGCTCGTCCTGGGGCCATCTTGGGCGTCTGGGAGCGCTCGTTTGGCGCCTCGGAGCTCTCGTGAGCCGTCTTGGAGGAGTCTTGGGGCCTTCTTGGCCCGTCTTGATCCCCTTTTGGGCCCAACAGAGCTCCGTGACGCGCTCGTCGTGGGCCCAGGGGGGGGGGTCGAATCTCCGGTTTGGGGTCCCAGGGGGGGTTCGGAAGGGGGAACTATCTCACACGCCTAGAGACCCACAAGGGGTCGGCGGATTTTTGCAGTCGGCCTCGGCAACCTGCAGCGGCGACTCTTGGCTGACTTCCGCTTTCGATGCCGCGCCATTCCGGGCGCGCAGGAGATTCGGACGAAGATTGGGCACCTGGGGATCTGGGCTTGCGTCAACTACGGGAATGGCATATTCTGTACTATTTCCCCGGGAGAACGGCATAATTATCTAGCGCTCAGGCTCAGCAGATACCGCCAGGGCGATCCTTTCGTTGCAGGCGAGAGCAGGAGGCAGAAGTGGGCAAAGAGCGATTCGCCGAGCCTGGAGCCGTCGCCAGAGGACGCGTTTGAGGTGAACATTCCTGGATATGACACGCGTCGCTTGTTCCTCGCAGAGGACCCCTTGGCCGCCTCCAACGCATTCTTCGTGCAGATCCGCACGGTCTTGGCGACGATGCTCGGAGTGCGCATGTGCCCTCGCTGTCCGCAGTGCTCTGAATCTGGATCGCCGTGCCAGGGCGCCCTCGGCAGCAACGCTGAAGCCATGGGAGGCATTGCAGGGCGCGTGGGCGCTTTGTTCGGCGCCGTGGAGGCTCAGAAAACGACGGGGGGGCTGCGTTATCATTTTTTCATGTTCTTTCAGCGCCTGCACCAGTTCGCCACGCTGAAGGAGATCGCCCAGAAAATCGAGGAAGGTCTCGTGAATGCGACGGAACTGAAGCATTTCCCCGGGCAAATCTGCTGTGATAGATATCCCGACGTGGACCAATTTGCTAGAGAGAGAGAACTTCGCTGGAGCACAACTTCCCGACATACTCGGAGTCGTCCGAATGCTCTGGATCGCCAGCGTGGGGGGAGTTCAAATTGGGCCGATTGCTTCGGTTCCTGTATGATGACGCGAGAGCTGGAGTGGGCTCGTCCGCGCAGGGGGCCCCAGGGGAAGCTCAGGAGCTCGGCCTGAACTGCGACGACGCCACCTTAGAGGAGAAGTTCAACGGCGCTCTGCAGTATTTCATGTGTCGTTGCCAGCGCCACATACGTCGACTGGTGATGGATTCGAAGACCAAGCAGGAGAAGCGTTTGGTGCCCAACGCCTGCGCTTCCAAGAAGAACAAGAGAGAGTGCGAGCGCGAGGCGCCGTGGACCAACAGAGTGTCCCCCGAGTGGATGACGGCGCCGCTGCTGGTTTGCAAGGGCATTGCCAAGAAGTTCACGCTGCGCACAAGCGGAGTCCGAAATTGGCTGGGGCAAACTCTCGGATTGCGCAATGAGGAGTGGCTGAACGGGTGCATGCCGGGCCTGTGCGTCGCTTTTGCAGGGAGCAACAGTGACGTGAAACCGAATGACCGACTGCCGATCATCGAGCGAACGCATGAGACTTGCTGCAGGAAGAAACGCTGCATCATGAAGAAGCAGAGTCTGGGGGGAGCCACTCGAGCAACTCAGCGCACGCAGGTAGTGACGAATGGATATTTCGGGGGATACATTGGCAAGCGACAGCCCGCGGGCACGTTGGAGACCAAGAAATGCGTGGGCGAGCTGTTTACCTTGAGGGCGAAGATACAGGGCAGGGGCAAAGCGGCGCAGCTCAGAGCAAGCAGCGGGAGGCTGATAACGGAACTCGAGATGAACAGCACGTGCCGCGGCGCCGTGGAAGTCTGCAACCTGTGCTGCAATCTGGACCTGAGGGGCGTTCTGAAGGCAGAGTCCACCCGAACGTTTGGCTCGCAGGCGATCGATGGGCGGTCGTGGGTGAACAGGTTGGAGACGTCCCAGAATTCGTCGCAGATGAAGGACACCAGCGTGACGACGTACGTCCCGCCGGCTCGCAAACCGAACATGCGGACGGACCGGTCGAGAGTAAACGACTTCGACGCCTACGCATATCGTCCTTTGGAGCACCCTTGGAAGTTGTTGTCCGCGTACGAGTTCTTGCGGCAGTGGAGGTGCGAACCACTACTGGTGCCGACGCACTACTTGAACCGCAACCAGCCAGCGCGAACTGCGTGGACAAAAGGATCGGGGGAGCGTAAGACCCGGGTTTGCCAGGGCTCGGGTTCGGCATCGTTTTTTGACGACCGCGACTCGGGTTTTGACGAGGGGGAGTTTTGTGGGATGTCTGCAGCGGGAGGCCTCGTCAAAATGCAGGCTCGGCCTCGTGATTTTTTTGGCGACCTCGTGGGGGATGTCCGAGTTCTCCGTGCCCGGGTCTTACGTCTCCCCGAAAGGAGGTCAACAATTAATCAAGAGTAAGCAGTGCAAGGATGGGGAAGTCGCCGCCAAGCTTGGAGAGCATTACATAGCAGTGACACCCGAGGCCGACGAGTATTTCGTGTTTCCGCAGGACGCCGGTGTCTTCTGCCACTCATGGGTTCTGGTCAGGAAAGCGAGGCCGGACGTGGTGGTCATCGAAGGCTTGCCCATGCCCGGCGCGCGCAAAAGTTTTACGTGCAACGCTCAGTATTGCAGTTTATTTTTTCCGTCCCTGGGCGCTCTATGGAGGAGACGTGACTGTGCCTCACCTGAGTATGTTGGGGATGGAGTTAACGGTGCTGCGGCATCGGCAGGAGGCCCAGCACCAGTCGCCCCAAGTTCGAGCTTCGTGTAGGCTGACCAAGAAGACAGCCTCAACAGGGGCGCCATCGACGTTGGACAGCGTATCCTGGAAGACCGCCTGGGACGAGTACGTTCGCGGGAACGTGGTCAGCCAGGCAGCGGCGAAACTCATCCAGAGTCTCCTGCTGAATGCGATGGCGTCGTCTGGCAAGGCGGCAGATGATCAGAGCGAGGCAGATGCGTCGGAAGAAGAGCAATATATGCCTCCGCTGAGCCTCCCTGGTGGAAGTTTCAACGGCTGCTCCAATCGGCTAAAGAAGAGGACAGCCTCGGCGAGAAGTGGGCCGCCTCGGCGAAGGCGAAGGTGAAATCTTCGGAGGACAGCCGAGTGAAGAAAAGTGCCCGGCTGCACGAGTATGAACAAAGCCGCCGCATCGGATAGCGAGTGTGGAAGACGGAACTTTCCGGCGTCGAGGCTGGAGACCGTGCATGTCCGGGACATATCTTCGAGGATGCGTACCAGGACCACCTCGCAGCTCTATCCGCAAGTGGCACGAGCCATAAGCCACGCGATGCTCCCTTCGACGAGAAGCGGGATGCTGCTGCTTCGTTCAACCCTGCAGGGAATGGCTTCACCAGCATCGACAAAGCGTTTGCTTCCATATTGGCGAGCTCGAAGATCCCGAACGAGAAACATCGCCAGTTTCTCGAACACCTTGTTCGACGTTTGAAGATTGAGTGGCTGGAGAAGCAGCAGGGCAACGTGAACCAGAATTCCGAGGAGCCTCTGCTGGGCGTAGTGCGCGGATTTCCGGGCACCAGAAAAAGTGCCGTCATTGACTGGATGCGGTACTTGATGGAGGAAGGTCTCGGTTGGGAGCACGGCGTTCAGTTCGTGTGCTTGGCGTTTCAAACTGCCATG